CCAAGCTGAACCTATAAGGCGCTGACAAGTTTTCTTCTTCTAATAATGCTGATGTAGTACAGGTGGAGATCGACCATTTAACTTTAACTTTTACTCTGAACATGAACTTGGGACCGTCTGTTTCTCTTTTCTGATCATCCGAATCGCTGTGTGTGTTCCTGCTCATTTGCTACTGCTTCTTCAGAGAGCTCCACGAAGTTCCCCCTAGCGAGATTTCCCGTATAGCAAAATCACCGAAGCTCCTGAAATGGCTGTAAGTTGCAGGAATCCTGTTTAGTGAAGGTATTGATATCTCTCGTACATGTAACAGATTGAAGGGATGAATGACATCACTAGTAAGATATTGAAGGGATGAATGACATCACTAGTAAGAGAAGAAAAACCTTACAAACACCATCCTCAAATCAAATGGTCTCTTCGCTGCAAATTACTAATATCTCTGTCAAACTTTCTGCCAGGACTAGGAGCCATCATCAGTATTGAGGAGAAAAACAAGTGAGGTGGACCTATATCTTACAACGCAAGGAGGAGATTGAAAGAGGTGAATGACATCACTAGGAAGAGACTGAAGAGGTGAATGACATCACTAGGAAGAGATTGAAGAGATGAATGACATCACTAGTAAGATATTGAAGGGGTGAATGACATCGCTAGTAAGAGATTGAAGAGGTGAATGACATCACTAGGAAGAGATTGAAGGGATGAATGGAAGGGATTGAAGAGATGAATGACATCACTACCCAGCTGGTGGGCAAATATCAAGCAATCGCCCTCCATGTAATCCTATGTTCGTCACAGTCCTTTGAGGATCTAGTTCACTTCCATTGCCGTCTTTATCAATATCCGCTCAAGGTTTTCTTGTTTCGTAGTACGTTCGTATGTGTTTGTCGTGTGTTACCGTGTATTGTTGGTGCATGCTCGTGTTGCTATTGTGTGCAACGGAGTCTTCGTCTTGAGTCCGTCATGTCCTTGTGTGTAAAAAAAAAGAGTAAATTATCGTGTCCGTTCCCGAAGGGAACTCACGACGGCCGCTAGCACCCGGTAAACCCTAGTGGCCAGGTGTGTGCCTGTCGTATAACGATAGCAAAATACAATCTTTCCCACTGTAGTCCTAGCGTTGAATGTCTAAGTGTGGAGATGGCACGGGACTGGGACCCGCAAGAAATAATTCAAATCACAAAACCTGTTTTGCCTCAGTGGCCTGAGGGATCCATTTCTTGTTTGGAGTTTTCACCCCCATCTTGCAGGCAAATGCATTCAGCTTATTTCTCTTCTTTATGTTGGCTAATGTATGCAGGAAATTTTCCAATAATGCAATGCAAACTGTCAGTCCTGATTCTTTCACCGGATTTTCCGCCCTTGAAGTGCTGTGAGTTTTTGAGTTATTGTGTTATTGCGTTACTTTTGAGTTATGTTTTTAACGTAGTTTGTGTTGTAGGCGCATGGCGACAGGACTCACTGTAGCTACAGTGACGAGTGTAAAAGCTGAGAGAGAGAGAGAGAGAGAGAGAGAGAGAGAGAGAGAGAGAGAGAGAGAGGGAGAGGGAGAGGGAGAGGGAGAGGGAGAGGGAGAGGGAGAGGGAGAGGGAGAGGGAGAGGGAGAGGGAGAGGGAGAGGGAGAGGGAGAGGGAGAGGGAGAGGGAGAGAGAGTAATTTTGTAATTTTTATTGTTTAAGGATTCCCCAAAGGCTTTCGCCTATCGACGGGGTTTCCAAACTTTCCATAATACCAAATCTGTAAAAGAAGTGATGAGCAATAGGTGAGCAAAGAAAGAGAAAAGGAGCAGGGCGGAGAGAGATAAAGCTCGTTGCCTTCCCTACGTTACCCTCATTCCTCGTCGTGAGTGACCTGTTGGCCGTGGGTGTCAGTGCAGTTCCTTGCATGAGAAGTGGTTCACGCATGCATCACCGCATTCCGAAAGCACAGTCAGTACCCTCTCCCAGCTGCCAACATGGGTCTAGCACTGGGGACGGGATGATTCTTACGCACGCCTACGCTCATTTTTCCAATGCACTGGTGCTTACAACTTATAAGGACAGATGTGTCTTTTGCAAGTTTAATTTTCATACTTAGCCTTGGCATATGCAATACCATTATTCAATAGGCCGTATGCCCGCACCTGTTAACCCTTATCCGACCGGCAAAGTAGACAAATTCAAATTCTCAGTCCCAGCGAGACACATTTTGATGATAACTTTATTTTGCCTTTGGTGAAATTAGCAATCTTGGGCTTTTTAGAAAGCTTGAGCCATGTGGAGTTCTCTAGAAACCGTTTCTAGCCTTCATTTGTAAGAGGAACAAGAATTCATCTCCAATTCCATTTTTTTGAAGAGATGTTCGGTTCTTCGACATAATTATGGACTATTTGTAGTCCTAAATTTTTTCTTTCGTGCTAACAAATTTTGAATGTACCATCAGGGCAGCCTCCAGGCACAGTTTTAGGAGGGCAACACAACCGTTGCCAAAGTGACACCATGTGGAAACTTGTTCCGTACGTGGTATTCAACAGACCTACTTCAGAGATGTATAACGTCTTTCTGAAACATGCGAAGATGCTCCAGTTTTCTGCAAATGAATGGTGGGTCTTTCCTGCTTTATTTGAGACCAAGAATAGTGCAGATTCGATCAAAAATGAGTGAGTTACAGTTTGTTGAAGTCATCGCCGGATAGTCGTCGATTTTTGACTGGCCGGTCGGAAAGTGATCAAACTATGCCAGTACATGTATATTCGATGATAAAGCCAGTCAAACTTGCAGCCCAGCAGAAATGGTACGGACGTGGATTTAGATTGAAATTTCTGTGCGGACATTAACTTTTATGGCATGGCGTAGTGGGTGAGTCGTTTTGCATCTAAAATAGCTAGGACAGCAGCGGTGTTTCGAATATATGAACATGGCTTTAAAAGGTGCAGACATACAGTAGGAAGTTTAGAAGATGTGAAGGAAGATATTCTCCATTTCCAGTAGGGTGGTTGCATACACATTAAAGGGGAAGTTAAGGCAAAAATTAAAATTTCATCAGTTGTAGTCTTCGGGGTGCTGAGTCGAATGGTCTTGGTCCGAGGAAGCTGAGACGCTCCCTTCCTACTTGAATCCCAATCGAACTCGCGCACTTCCACCGAAACTGGGTGACTGCGCCCTACTAGATGGGGATTTGTATGCAAAATGTCACTAAAAGCGCCATTTCGTTCTTATAAAAGCACGGATGACCGCGATTGGCCCATATGTTGTAGTCTTTTGGTCGCTGAGTCGACTGGTTTTGGTCCGAAAAGGCTGTGATGCAGCGTTCCTCCTTTATTCCCAATCGAACATGGTTGAAGAAGCGGTCACGTGCTCCTGGGTGCCCAAATCACCTGGTCACCACGCCAGCAGGTGACAACTTTCACACCAAGGTTCAACTCGAGTTCAACTCGAGTGACAGGACTGCACCCAAAAAAGGTCAAACAGGCTAGTAAGTTGTACCCTGCAGGCACGGTGACCAGGTGACTGGTGTACGCAGGAGCACGTGACCGCTTCTTCAACCATGTTCGATTGGGAATAAAGGAGGAACGCCGCATCGCAGCCTTTTCGGACCAAAACCAGTCGACTCAGCGTCCAAAAGACTACAACATATGGGCCAATCGCGGTCATCCGTGCTTTTATAAGAACGAAATGGCGCTTTTAGTGACATTTTGCATACAAATCCCCATCTAGTAGGGCGCAGTCACCCAGTTTCGGTGGAAGTGCGCGAGTTCGATTGGGATTCAAGTAGGAAGGGAGCGTCTCAGCTTCCTCGGACCACGACCATTCGACTCAGCACCCCGAAGACTACAACTGGTGAAATTTTAATTTTTGCCTTAACTTCCCCTTTAACCCTTTACCAGCCGTACATAGTGCAAATGCGTCGAATTCGACGCATTCGTTTTTCGCTCTGTAAACCATGGTCTTTTGCCGCACCGCGGTCGGAATAATCGCAAACTACTGCTGAAAAACTACGGAATCACCTACCATCGAGAAAACTGTGTGCTGCACATCATTTTTTCGAGAAAATCGCGGTTGAATGCACCCGGGAGTTGAAGTTTCAAGCGTGACGCAGTTCATGCTAAACGAGCATAGAGAACTGTACAAACAGCGTCAAACTGCCTACTTCAAATTCAACATATGAAGGCTCATTGGAAAGCTATTGAACGCAACTTTCCAACGATGTTTCATTTGCTATAGCGCGAAGTAAAATACGAGTCAAGCGCCGAAGCTCGAAGTCCAGGAAACGGGTGAAGTTGAAATTTCAAGCGTGTGACTCTGACGCATTTCATGCTAAACGAGCATAGAGCACTGTAAAAACAGCTATAACTTCGGTCTGCCTACTTCAAATTCAACATATGACGGCTCATTGGAAAGCTATTGAACGCAGCTTTCCAACGATGTATCATTCGATATAGCGCGAAGTAAAATACTCAAGCGCCGAAGCTCGAAATCCAGCAAACGGATGGAGTTGAAATTTCAAGCGTGTGGCTGTGACGCACTTCATGCTGAAGTATGTGTTTGCGATTTCCCCAGTGCACAGCCCATGCGTGACATGCACCAAAAATGAGCTCTAGAACAGCCTGGTTCTGCTGGTGTTTGAATATTGACAGATGAACTGGTGCACGAGCTGAAGCTGAACAGTGCATATTGTCATGGTCCTCGAATTTGCTAATTCGGCCGCATTGCTCGAGTTACTGTTCGCCATGAATGGCAACGTTTCTACATGTTATCAGCTTGGTTTTGTCTCATATAAAAGGTAATTCTACCAGCTTTCCAGAACTATAAAGGTGTCAATACAAATTATTTGTGCCGAGCCAAGCAAAAAGGTGGCTTAGGCATAATTTTTGGAATTTTCTTTTTTCATGCCAAAGTGATGTCTACCTATCCAACTTCCATCATGGAAATTTTGGTGCCCATCTGAAATGTATATGTGCCATAAATAAGCATACATTGCGCACATGTCACAGCATGCCTGGTATCAATGACACTAAGGATTTGAAGACCTGCCCAAACTCCAAAAAACATGGGACACCAAGTGGAGACAAAGCTTAACAGGTGTGGAAGCAATACAAGAAGGACGAGCACTTGTGTTCTAATTAGAAGATCCAAGAAATAAGAAATAATTGATCTATGTATCTCATCTCATTTTGTCACGCAACACGAATTTCCATATCCTTCATGTTGGGCATGAGTCTGTGACTATTTTCGCTGGGCTGGTAAACATCACATCTTACCAAGACAGTCCGTCATACTCTCTCCAATCACCTACGCCAGCATGAACGAAATCCCTTCACGTAGCTCGTAGTGTTGTGCCAGATATCGATTGAGCTCCATTGGTCCCTTGCACGTAGGTCCAGCAGACTGCACATCGCTAAAAAGCGGCACTGATTCTTTGTCCGTGCTAGTCCATGGCATTCTCCTTCCCTGGTGTAGGTAGTGGTAGAAGGCACCACGGGACGATATGCTAGCAGGTAGAGTCAATGCATCGTTTCGTCGTGTGGCCTTGAAATGAGGAGATTTTGGAATACAGTACGCCACGTCATGAACATTTGAAGGTAGCCGAAACAAAGTGAAACATCGCTGCAGGAGCCAACTCACTTGGCAGCTTGTCAGAATATAGTCGCAGCTTGTCAGAACAATAGTCGGACGGCTTGTATGCGTCTCCCCATAGCTATACTAGCCGCTCTTGTCATGGCCACGATGAGAAACACGGCCACTATGAATGAGCGAGTCTTCCTCGTCAAGGAGGGTTGGGCGCACAGGGAGATAGAGTGTCGTCCTGCTCACCTCCACATTCTCCAGAACGCTCCATTACGATCTCTGGCAGCGCCGCGAAATCACCACAACGATGAAAGAGGGAACACTGAAGAAGTGTTGCTCAAAAATAGAAAGGCCTCTTTCTTCTTCTCGACTGGCAAACTATTTACTTGAAAGGGTGCTCGAAAGTGAATATTTTCGCGACTGCGCTCGAGTAGATTTTTGCCGACTGTGACGTTTTGGTGATTTTCTCGATTTGTTGGCAAAACGCTAAGCCACTTTTTAGCTTGGCGCGGCTCATTTACTGTTTAGTCTCTATTATCAATCTAGCGGACCCCGGTTTTTTTACACCTAAATCCTGTGGCTGGTGAAGGGTTAAGTTACACGCTTTGTGCCATGGGTACTTGTGTCGTATTTTAAATTCCTTTTCAACAGCTGGCCACCTTTTTTGTTTTAGAGAAGAAAGAAATTACCGTACCTGCCCTTTTTTTACCATTCACCCCTGCTCGGCCACTTTTTGCGTGTGGTATGATTCATGCTTATGGATCCCCCCCCCCCCCCCCCCACACACACGCTCCACCCTGATTATAATGCAAATGCTTTGAATGCTGTGTGTGCGTGTGTGGTGTGTGTGTGTGTGTGTGTGTGTGTGTGTGTGTGTGTGTGTGTGTGTGTGTGTGTGTGTGTGTGTGTGTGTGTGGTGTGTGTGTGTGTGTGTGTGTGTGTGTGTGTGTGTGTGTGTGTGTGTGTGTGTGTGTGTGTGTGTGTGTGTGTGTGTGTGTGTGTGTGTGTGTGTGTGTGTGTGTGTGTGTGTGTGTGTGTGTGTGTGTGTGTGTGTGTGTGTGTGTGTGTGTGTGTGTGTGTGTGTGTGTGTGTGTGTGTGTGTGTGTGTGTGTGTGTGTGTGTGTGTGTGTGTGTGTGTGTGTGTGTGTGTGTGTGTGTGTGTGTGTGTGTGTGTGTGTGTGTGTGTGTGTGTGTGTGTGTGTGTGTGTGTGTGTGTGTGTGTGTGTGTGTGTGTGTGTGTGTGTGTGTGTGTGTGTGTGTGTGTGTGTGTGTGTGTGTGTGTGTGTGTGTGTGTGTGTGTGTGTGTGTGTGTGTGTGTGTGTGTGTGTGTGTGTGTGTGTGTGTGTGTGTGTGTGTGTGTGTGTGTGTGTGTGTGTGTGTGTGTGTGTGTGTGTGTGTGTGTGTGTGTGTGTGTGTGTGTGTGTGTGTGTGTGTGTGTGTGTGTGTGTGTGTGTGTGTGTGTGTGTGTGTGTGTGTGTGTGTGTGTGTGTGTGTGTGTGTGTGTGTGTGTGTGTGTGTGTGTGTGTGTGTGTGTGTGTGTGTGTGTGTGTGTGTGTGTGTGTGTGTGTGTGTGTGTGTGTGTGTGTGTGTGTGTGTGTGTGTGTGTGTGTGTGTGTGTGTGTGTGTGTGTGTGTGTGTGTGTGTGTGTGTGTGTGTGTGTGTGTGTGTGTGTGTGTGTGTGTGTGTGTGTGTGTGTGTGTGTGTGTGTGTGTGTGTGTGTGTGTGTGTGTGTGTGTGTGTGTGTGTGTGTGTGTGTGTGTGTGTGTGTGTGTGTGTGTGTGTGTGTGTGTGTGTGTGTGTGTGTGTGTGTGTGTGTGTGTGTGTGTGTGTGTGTGTGTGTGTGTGTGTGTGTGTGTGTGTGTGTGTGTGTGTGTGTGTGTGTGTGTGTGTGTGTGTGTGTGTGTGTGTGTGTGTGTGTGTGTGTGTGTGTGTGTGTGTGTGTGTGTGTGTGTGTGTGTGTGTGTGTGTGTGTGTGTGTGTGTGTGTGTGTGTGTGTGTGTGTGTGTGTGTGTGTGTGTGTGTGTGTGTGTGTGTGTGTGTGTGTGTGTGTGTGTGTGTGTGTGTGTGTGTGTGTGTGTGTGTGTGTGTGTGTGTGTGTGTGTGTGTGTGTGTGTGTGTGTGTGTGTGTGTGTGTGTGTGTGTGTGTGTGTGTGTGTGTGTGTGTGTGTGTGTGTGTGTGTGTGTGTGTGTGTGTGTGTGTGTGTGTGTGTGTGTGTGTGTGTGTGTGTGTGTGTGTGTGTGTGTGTGTGTGTGTGTGTGTGTGTGTGTGTGTGTGTGTGTGTGTGTGTGTGTGTGTGTGTGTGTGTGTGTGTGTGTGTGTGTGTGTGTGTGTGTGTGTGTGTGTGTGTGTGTGTGTGTGTGTGTGTGTGTGTGTGTGTGTGTGTGTGTGTGTGTGTGTGTGTGTGTGTGTGTGTGTGTGTGTGTGTGTGTGTGTGTGTGTGTGTGTGTGTGTGTGTGTGTGTGTGTGTGTGTGTGTGTGTGTGTGTGTGTGTGTGTGTGTGTGTGTGTGTGTGTGTGTGTGTGTGTGTGTGTGTGTGTGTGTGTGTGTGTGTGTGTGTGTGTGTGTGTGTGTGTGTGTGTGTGTGTGTGTGTGTGTGTGTGTGTGTGTGTGTGTGTGTGTGTGTGTGTGTGTGTGTGTGTGTGTGTGTGTGTGTGTGTGTGTGTGTGTGTGTGTGTGTGTGTGTGTGTGTGTGTGTGTGTGTGTGTGTGTGTGTGTGTGTGTGTGTGTGTGTGTGTGTGTGTGTGTGTGTGTGTGTGTGTGTGTGTGTGTGTGTGTGTGTGTGTGTGTGTGTGTGTGTGTGTGTGTGTGTGTGTGTGTGTGTGTGTGTGTGTGTGTGTGTGTGTGTGTGTGTGTGTGTGTGTGTGTGTGTGTGTGTGTGTGTGTGTGTGTGTGTGTGTGTGTGTGTGTGTGTGTGTGTGTGTGTGTGTGTGTGTGTGTGTGTGTGTGTGTGTGTGTGTGTGTGTGTGTGTGTGTGTGTGTGTGTGTGTGTGTGTGTGTGTGTGTGTGTGTGTGTGTGTGTGTGTGTGTGTGTGTGTGTGTGTGTGTGTGTGTGTGTGTGTGTGTGTGTGTGTGTGTGTGTGTGTGTGTGTGTGTGTGTGTGTGTGTGTGTGTGTGTGTGTGTGTGTGTGTGTGTGTGTGTGTGTGTGTGTGTGTGTGTGTGTGTGTGTGTGTGTGTGTGTGTGTGTGTGTGTGTGTGTGTGTGTGTGTGTGTGTGTGTGTGTGTGTGTGTGTGTGTGTGTGTGTGTGTGTGTGTGTGTGTGTGTGTGTGTGTGTGTGTGTGTGTGTGTGTGTGTGTGTGTGTGTGTGTGTGTGTGTGTGTGTGTGTGTGTGTGTGTGTGTGTGTGTGTGTGTGTGTGTGTGTGTGTGTGTGTGTGTGTGTGTGTGTGTGTGTGTGTGTGTGTGTGTGTGTGTGTGTGTGTGTGTGTGTGTGTGTGTGTGTGTGTGTGTGTGTGTGTGTGTGTGTGTGTGTGTGTGTGTGTGTGTGTGTGTGTGTGTGTGTGTGTGTGTGTGTGTGTGTGTGTGTGTGTGTGTGTGTGTGTGTGTGTGTGTGTGTGTGTGTGTGTGTGTGTGTGTGTGTGTGTGTGTGTGTGTGTGTGTGTGTGTGTGTGTGTGTGTGTGTGTGTGTGTGTGTGTGTGTGTGTGTGTGTGTGTGTGTGTGTGTGTGTGTGTGTGTGTGTGTGTGTGTGTGTGCGGTTCATTGTGTGTGGCTGCAGTATTTTCAGCCATCAGCGCATACAGTCGGTTCGCTTGACTGGATTGAACAACTTGCAGCTGTTGTACGTGACCGGTTTGCTGTGATTTTCTCTTACTGTCAAAAAATTGTCTGTTTAGTGTAGTTTGGTGGTGGATCTGATCTATCCTCTCCCAGTGTTTAGGAGCTGCATGTGACGCCTGATCATGGGGTGGTGGTGTTAGATATAGCCCGATTTTGCTAGCAATTCTGCTAGCAAAACATTGAAGAATTATGACAAGAGAATTTGCTGGCGAAACGGAGGAAAATATCAGCATGTTCGCTGGAAATTGGGAGATTTTCGCACATTTTTGCCAACGCGTGACTCACTTTTTCTCATTTCTGCCAACACGTGACCCGCTTTCCGTCAATTTTCCCACACGTGACACAAATCTGGTCTCACATTGGAGTAAAAAGGACAAGATATCGAGTGGCCTGGCAAAATGAAAAGCAAAATATCGACGATGAGCCAGCCAAATGTTGCCGCAAAATATCGAAGCTTCACTGGCAAGATCGGACTTTGTCTAATGGGGGGGGGGGGGGGGGGGGGGGGGTGATCTCCTACTCTTACCGCCGTATTTCTTCATTGAGGTGTAATGAAGTCTCCAAGTACTACTAATTCAGTCTCCAAGTCCAATTATCACATCCACTTCTCTTTATGGAGGTCCAGTGGTCACTCCAGCTCCTACTTTTACCGCCATTTTTCTCTCTTTAAAATAGAGATGTACTGAGATGTTCAGCTTCATTTTCCTCTGATTCAGTCTTGAAAAAATGTGAATTTTTTGCCTGTGAGATGGTAATCTGCAACTACATGCGGAAAAAAGCTCATATTTGTGGAAATAATCGATTCTTCCATTTCTGTTGCCTTTGTCTTCCCCACCGTGAAGAGAGATCACAGATAACACCGTGTATTTTCCCACCATATCCCCGGATACTTTCAAGCAGCTGCCTTCTCTCAAAACACTGTAAGTAGTGAGACCTCCGTTTTCTTCCTCCTTCTTAACCTTTGTCTCTCTCTCCATCTCTCTCTCCATCTCTTCCCTCCCTCCCTCCCTCCCTCCCTCCCTCCCTCCCTCCCTCCCTCCCTCCCTCCCTCCCTCCCTCCCTCCCTCCCTCCCTCCCTCCCTCCCTCCCTCCCTTCCCTCCCTCCCCTCCCTCCCTCCCCTCCCCTCCCTCCCTCCCTCCCTCCCCTCCCTCCCTCCCTCCCCTCCCTCCCTCCCCTCCCTCCCCTCCCTCCTCCCTCCCTCCCTCCCTCCCCTCCCTCCCTCCCTCCCTCCCTCCCCTCCCTCCTCCCTCCCTCCTCCCTGCCTCGCTCCCTCCCTCCCTGCCTCGCTCCCTCCCTCCCTGCCTCGCTCCCTCCCTCCCTGCCTGCCTCCCTCCCTTCCTTTTCTGCTCTTTTGCTGTAAAAGCCATCATTCTGACGAGCCACAAATGCAACGATTTTCTAAAATTGACCGGTTTACATGTACTAAAGATAACTATTCTCACTCATTTCCAACGCTCAACGGCACCAGTACAGTATGAGTATCGATTTCTATTTAACGATTTCTATTTTAACGACAGATTTCTCCTCATTAACTCGTCAGATTTTGCACTTGGTTATATAATTACAATAATATTACCGGTATATAGTTTTAAACTCGGATACTGAGCCAGTAATAAATGGAAAAAGAAGAAGAAACACATGAGAACGAGTTGTGCCATAATAGTTTTATAGTAGTTGCAGGCAGTGGTTTTTTGCATCTCTGTGCAAGTGGGTATATACTCCAAGTAAACTTGCATGCAACATGTTTTTGTATTTTTTTGTATTTTATTAGGCCAAACTAAAGAAGGTGTGTGGTTCGACTAACATGGACATTTTTTTTACGGGCGGGCAGATTTTTTTTTTTAATATATATTTTTAGTACATGTAAATACACTGTACTGCCTTTAGACACCCAGTACATCGGCATTATTACGCAGTGTTATGCCATACATGTTGTATAAAGGGATCACTGGCTAATACTTTGAAACATTGTGTAGCTCTGGAACGAGAAGAGAATAACTTCAAGCGGTGACTCTGACTGTCCAAATCATCAAGCAAATGAAGAACAATGCGAGTTGAAAGTAAGTTCGGGAACTACTTCGAAGTACAAATTGTACAATGTACCGGTACATGTATTGCTAGTTTGGTGTCGGCGTGCACGAATACATGGGCTTTTTCCATCGACGCTTCCTGTGCTTGCACACATGGAGCAGCAACTTACCAGTACAGGTGAAATATCGTTCCCAATACACGAGGAAAGTGCAATCTCGTCTGTCCTTCATCCCAAAACAGAAGGCCGTCCTTAATCTGGAACGAGGCAATCACTCTCAACCGGACGGTCACTTCAAAATAAGTCTCGCCAGTCTGCCGGTGGTCGTATCGAGTAGACTCTACTACCAGCACAAGGCAGCAGTCGTACCACTCACTGCACTGCACTGCAGACTGAGAGTGCAGTACAACTACAAGTCAAGTCCAAAAGGAGCCGCCTGCGTCCGCAGACTCACACTGCACAGCACGTAGACGTGGACGTACGTGTTCAGTCCACGTAGATCTACGTCAGCCACACGACAGCCCTATACGCCTAGCTAGCCCGCCGAAAAAAAGTTACGGTCGGGCTGAAAAATGTACGGTCGGTCGGGTGAGTCGAACCACAGACCTTCTTCAGTGTGGCCTTATAATATTATTTAAGGATTTCCCAAAGGCTTTGGGCCTGTCGTGTCATGTTTATCATTCCCGGGCTATGTAGAAGGCGTGTGACGTCACATTGTGACGTGGTACTGTACAACAAGTAAATATAGCGAGGAAGTAAATCTGACGTTTTAACCAACGATATTTTTCGTCACAATAAGTTCTGTAGAGGCTTTTAAAATTAACTTTCTTTGAGGCAGGACGCGTTAATATGAGGGAAAGAAAACTTCAAATCTCGAGCTATTCTTCACCATCATCAGCGATAAGGAGTCCGAAATTCATGAATCAGTTTTCGGGCATTCTCTTCAAATGAAATGCAAGCAAGGATATGCTTCATTGGTTCTGGTTGCTTGTATTTAATTTGAAAAGAAGGCCCGAAAGGGGGATGGGGGGGGGGGGGGGGGGTATGTACTCTTGGTATAAGTGAGCAGACAGGAGTGAAGGCTTTCATTAATATACAGCGATGGTCAAATTAACGGTGATAAACAGGGTAGGTGTCTGTATCTTGGGACAAAAATCTGTGTGTGGTGACTTATAGTCCAGTGTGGCTTATGCTCTGGAAAATACGGTATATACAGCTTATTTCCACGGTCCCGGTGTGGCTAATACCCCGGAAAACACCGTATTCGAATTTCTTCAAATGAGTCCGAGCACTGACGTTTTTGGTTCGAATGTTCTTTCTTTCTAAAAAAAAAAACATTTGTTCCTGCACCGGTTTCAATTAGTTTGGTTCCTTGTGCTGTCGTATTCCCTTTTTGGCTTTCGTGAACGGTTTTCTTGGCCAGGGAACAGCAGTTGAACTAGCGGTATGTCCGCGCTTGATATAACATTCAGATGCTGATTACAAGCTCTGTTGCTGTCATGTTGTTCTGCAGGAAACTGACAGGAAACATTCTCTCCAACTGGCCAGTTGGCTTTCTCAACTTCTCGACTCCATTAGCGGTGTAAGTGTGTGTGTCAAGGCCAGGGTTTAGTAATGATAGCAAGGGTATATAACCCCCCAAGAGTATGCAAATCTGCATATGGGGTCTCCGACGGCGAAAACTCACATCATGTGTCTCGGGTACGTTCGTACTACGTACAAACGAAGGATAGCGTGCGCGCAATCCGAATATCTGCCATGATCATGCTGGAGATTTGCATACCCGCAGTGAGTTTCTGTCAGAGAGTGCTTATTTATTACTTCGCTGCTCGCTAAAAATGGGCTGGAAACATACACTGCGACACTACACCACGTGATGTGAGTTTTCGCCGTCGCCGTGCCCCATAGAAAGGGTACCAGGAATTGCACACTCTTGGGGGCGTATATACTCTTGATGTCAGGGTTAGAGTTGAGGGTCAGCATCAAGGACGGGTTCAAGGTTTGGGTTTGGGTCAAGGCAGGGGTTGGGATTAGGATTGAGTTCAGATTACCAGGGTCAGGGTCAGGGTTTGGGGAAATGCGGGATATCCTCCACAGCGCTGGAATACCATCTTTTAAAATGATTTTGTATCCCGCATCAAGCGTCCAAAATAAATCTTACTAATGGCCACTGAATGCGTTCAATTTTGCCCACCAATCGGGAGCGGACACGATATTAACTTACTTTTTTTACTTATGAAGTTGGTTGCTCCAACGAGGAGCACACGCTTCTTGCCGAACTTGACACTTGACTGACTCACGACTGCCATCCGGAGCACACCAGGAGCACGTCGCACCTTCCGCTCGGCAAACCTGAAAGAAAGCACCACTCCCTGCTCAATACACAGTGTTTCGGGGAATTCACCCCTCATCAGTTGAGCTTGAGTAGGCTGAGGAAGATTGTGCCTGAAAAGCACCACTTATATACTGCTCTCCAGGCCAAACCATCACCAGGGATACAAACTTACAGAGACGCTTTGTTTCCAGCGCGACAAACACCTCGTGAAGCCCCAGGTAGCAGCGTGAGTCAGAGTCGCTCATGGAGTTGTGCTAAACAGACGTTGAGAGCCAGTATAGCTATTCACAACGCTGTCACCTCCAACAACTAGTTCGTTTTTTTTTTACTTAGTCGATTTTTTCATTGAGCAGCACCTTATATGCATTTCCCTGCCCATTTTCCTGTTCATTGAGACGGCTGTCCGTAACGGTAGTCTTTCGAAATCGATAATCGATGTACGGTCAACTTTGCGTATAATGACACTCGGCGGGCCATCAGAAAGGTGTCCTTATTTGCGAAGTCTCATTATATGTATTATAATTATGCTCATAGCGAATACCTTCCGATAGCGAGCAACGAGGGACCTCAGGCACAACAACTCATCCTCCCCAGATGAGTGTCGCCTACCCGGCTCCTCGACACAGGGCGTCCCCTGGTCAGCCAACACTGTGCCCGTGGGGTCCGGATCCAAATCATCCTCCCCCACCACAGCCTTTCCACTTCTAGGACCTCGTCCAATATGAAGTGCAGACCATACTTCTTCGGCCCCAGGAATCACATCCTCTTGGCCTGTATGGTCACCACCGTCCCCTCCTTCTTCGTTGCTCACGCAACCCACCGCGCAAACTGGTTGCAGACGGCCGATCCGAGCACCTCGTCCCAGAGACACACACTGCTCCGAGCAGTTCAAAACTCGGACGGGAACGCCGTCTTCCGTTGGACATACCAATGCGTAGGCCAACATAACATCATCAGGCCCCCTCAGGCAGCCGTCAGGTTCCGTAATGGCACAGGGCGGCACACCGCCATCTCCTTCGATCACGGCGTTAACCGTAATCTCTGAGAGAGGGTGTATGGTTACACGTTTCCGTAAACGGAGAACATGAACTTTTCCGCAAACGTCTTCCGTGTCAAGTGTCGACACTTCGGCTTTAGCGGCCTGAAAGTGCAAACTACCGTTCTCGGACTTGATCGCGCACGGGATTCGGCACAACACATCCCGACCAATAAGGCAAGGATAGTGGAGTCCACGAACCACCGCCGTAGCGTGCCAGCATGTTGCGCTATGCAAAGCGAGGCAAGCGACTACCGACTACCCTGCATGCTATTTTCCATAATTCCACGGAAGTAAAAACTTCCTTGTCTTTTAGCACACCCACAGAACACGAGCAGTTTGATTTTTGTGCCATCTGGCCACGGTTCAGGATTGATATTATGAGGGTGAAATAATGAGAATCAATCCTCCATCATTTTCTCCTCCGCCGCTTTCAGGTTTGCCTCGACCAAGGCTTCAGCCTTGGCCGTCGCCAGTTCCGCTTCCCTTCTTCTCAGTTGCTCTTCGCGCTCCGCCGCGACAGCAGGAGGAGGCGGCTTTGGGGCCGCCTCTCCCGCTGCGGCCACGGTGGCCTTCGTATGCCGGTCTTTGCTAGGATGCTGAGCCGGTTTGGCCGGCGGCCGTCCCGACGTTGTCGCCGCCAACACCGAGCGTGGACGCTCGGCGCTGTTGGTCCGACCGGTCCTGGGGACCCCCTCTTCCCCACGGCATGGCCGTTTGGGAGAGGGCCCCGGGGACCGTGCACCATCCCTCTGCCGGTGAGGTCCTGGGCCTGGCGATGCGCTTCGCGATGGCTCTACTGCCGCGTTGAGCGACCTGATTGCTGAATGCAGCTGAGTAAGCCCTTGCTGCAAGCGGTGGATCACCCGTGCCGAATTAAATTGTCGCATGGCCTCAAGAGCGGCGGCCGACTGCCCGAGCGCCTCGTGCAGCTCACGTAGATTATCTGCAGGCGGGTTGTTCCGTTTGGGTGGCATCTGTAACAACCAGGTCAAACAGAGAACACAGACGTTGGGATCCTGGTCACAGCACCAAATGTCGCATCCCTGCGAGGTTCGTTGCCTGTCATGATCGCTCACAACCCAACCAAATCCAACCGCCAGGCGGTCGACCAATATAGTCGACGACCCAACTTAGTGTTCTGCTCACCTTGATTCACACACGAAGCGAAGACAACAGGTAAAGGGTCTGAGAGTCTCAGTCTATTACTCAAGTCCGGGAGAGAGTTAGTTGTGAAGAGTTATGCGGTGACATTGTTCTTTTATGCACATGATGAAGAGATAGAGAAGTTCGTGCAAAGCACGGCGTGATGGTTCTGGGAAGGCGGCGATAAATACAGGTTTTACAACGCAGGCATGGCAAGAAAACAGCAAAAGATCAATAGTTCAAACAACGGAAACGACAATGAAAAAGAAGCACAAACGGAGCAAAAGGCCGGATCGGGACGTAGGGAGCCCGCTCACCTACGTCTCCGCGGAAATCTTTGAATTATATGGATCACGTCGGGGAGCCCGCTCACCCGACGTGATAGAACAACGTAACTCTGGCGGGATGTTGTGCCGTATCTGCATCCCTTTTCCGGGAACTTCACCGGCGGGCCCTTCGCGGGTCACCGCGGCGTCGCTGTACCGCACTTGCCACGCCTTCCTTTTGCGCCTTCATTTTGCGCGCGGTTCCCCGCTCTTTTGCGCACGCCTCTCGTTCTTCTGCACTCAGCTCTCATTCTTCTGCACTCAGCTCTCATTCTTTTGCGCACGGCCCTTCGTGTCTTGCACGAAGCGCGAAAGGGGTCATGGAAATCAATAGGACTTCTCAGTCACATGATTTTGCATGAAGCCTAGAGCGTACATTTCCAGGAAGTCAAGAACTTCCTGGAACATTCCTAGAACATTCCACGCGAGAACCTACCTGACCAGGTTCCGGCGGTGAATCATACGATGTGTCATGTCCAAGAGACATGACACCAACGTAGGATATCACGCCTAAAAAGCATGACACCTACGCGGAACAGCGCGTGCCGCTCAACCTACATGCTCAACACGTGGGACAAGACACTGGCCAAAGCACGTGATAGTATAGATCGTGACAGCTCAAACACAGAGCTGCGCACTACACAGATCCTGCTGTCACAGGATCTGTCAAACCGCGAGTGTCGCGTCCAGGACGTGACACAGGTAAAATGGACTTTTCTGTCGTTATTCGCGAATTGTTGTTATGTCCGCAGTCGTTATTAGCGAAGTTGACTGTAATCATTACTTATCACTGTACAGTACATGCCTGGTCACTGACCTGGTCGCGCGTGACTTGCATTCAAGTGCTTCACGCCAATCCACGTACTTGCAAAATCACGTACTTCAAGCTCGATTTTCTCACCTTCAATGTATGTGCGCCATATACTTTCTTGGCTGGATGACGAAGCGCGAAAACTCACCTTTTGAATGAGACCAAGATCGATGCCATGGCATGTGTACATCCCACTCAAACTCAGCATTGAAATGATCGAACATCGGTGTTCGATCATTGTATGGGCCGGCCAGTAAAGTGTTAAAGTGACCAAAGTTGCTACACTAACCGAACCTGCTGTGTGCGCGTCAAGTTTCTCTTTCACCCTGTCTCACTTCTCAGTATTCATTATCGTCATCGTTTTTTTCTCTCCCTCCTCAACTACGCTGATGCATGTACTAATGTCATCATTATCTCTGGTTGTCTGAACTGCGACAGCCGGAACTGCGGCTTTTCCTCAACACAAACGTGAACTCTTCCCTGCTGGGATAAAACTCCCGTCTCCGCGGGACTATCTGTTCGTTGCTGCCTGTTTTGCCTACAGATATATTGACAACACTGACTTATCAAGAAACCCTACTCGACTGTGTCAATCTTCTCCATCGCCATCTGTTACGCTTTATTTAGACACAAATGGCAGTAAGTTATCGGTCTGTGGCATGCGCTTGTACAGTTTGGTAGCATTACGCATAGGTTGTTGATAACAACACACGCACACACCCAGCCGTACACGCATGCACACGCACACACGCACACACACACAGCCGTACACGCATGCACACGCACGCACGCACACACGCATGCACACACACACGCACACACACACACACACACGCACACACACACACACACACGCACGCACGCACGCACGCACGCACGCACGCACGCACACACACACACACACACACACACGAGCACGTGGGCGAACAAACGCCCACATATTTGTTGAAGACGGTGAGCTATTCCGCTTGGCTTACCCTACTAGTCACTGAAATGGCCTCAAAGCATGGGCTTACACCCCCCATGTCCACCGTATTGGGCTTTACTATACTACATACTGATATGGCCTTGAAACCGGGGCTTATCCCCCCCCCCCCCAACCCATGTCCCACCGTTTTGGGCTTTACTATACTACATACTGATATGGCCTTGAAACCGGGGCTTATCCCCCCCCCCCCCCCCCAACCCATGTCCCACCGTTTTGGGCTTTACTATACTACATACTGAATCATCGTCTGAATGGCCTCGAAACCGGGGCTTATCCCCCCCCCCCCCACCATCTCCCACCGTTTTGGGCTTTAATATACTACATACTGAATGGCCTCGAAACCGGGGCTCACCCCCCCCCCCCCCCCCTCTCTGCCCCATGCGGTGGACTTTGCCATACTGCCCAGCGAAGTGGCCTCGAAACCTGCGCTTACACATCCAATTATACAGGTACTCATGGTGGTGTGTTGGACTCTTGTCTGAAACTACGTTTTGTCCCTTTACAGCTATGTATTCGCCGGAGGTTCTATGCAACTGTACTTTGCTACAGTCGCAGATCTGTCCCCCACTCAGCACCTGTTATGGTACCATATGGAATTACGTATGCATATCGCCATGGTCACCGTCACCCTCACCGTCACCCTCACCGTCACCGTCACCGTCACCGTCACCGTCACCTTCAACGTCAATGTCATCCTCACCGTCACCAGCACCAGGTGAGGAATGTAGATATGACTGATTCCCACCGTTAAGCTAGCCGATTCAATTCGAGCGAGAGAGAGAGAGGGAGAGAGAGAGAGTGTGTGTGTGTGTGTGTGTGTGTTTGTATGTGTGTGCGTGTGTGCGTGTGTGCGTGTGTGCGTGTGTGTGTGTATGTGTGTGTGTGTGCATGTGTGTTAATGTGTGTGTGTGTATACGAGCGCGTGCGGGCGTGTGTGTGTGTGTGTGTGCGTGCGTACGTGCGTGCGTGCGTGTGTTTAAGATGGAGATTGTCGTCTACCTAGATGCTTCGTCCCCCTAATATAGAACGGGATTGCGTAACAATCGTCCTGCACTTGTGTTGCAAGTTCCTGATTGCCGTACTAATCCTCTACCTGACCAAAACTGATATGGGCTGGTGTGCGGTTAGGATTTTGCTACCTGTATGTGTAGTCCAACTGGGCATGGCGAGCAAGTTATATATTAGCGCTCTATGAGTATGGAGGTAATGCGAATGATGTCATGGCGGATTTTCTAATAGGGGCCAAGTGTACAGCGTGAGTCAGCGGGTTTTCCAATGGTGCTAAGTATGCTGTAGGAAGCGCTAGGGCAAGTCCGCGACTTCGCCACAGAATCTCAACTGATGGTGTATTCACGTAACCTCTATACTGCAAAATATCCTCTGGTATTGGTGTGTTTTTTGTTGTTGTTTTTTTCTCCAGTCAAGCGTGCGTTGTGCGCGAAGCTCGCGGCCGTACAGAATGGCGCCCTGTCCGAGGATTCTCTGCGCACACAGGCCACACTGCAGTGCGACCCGGGGTACCGGGCAGCCTCTGGAAACGTGTTTGACTGCGTTGAGAGTCGTGGCATTTGGACGTGGAGCGGTGGCAGCCCGCAATGCCAAAGTATGTGACACGAGCAGCATATTAAAAAGGGGAAGTTAAGCCTAAAATCAAATTTTCACCAGTTGGAGCTTCAGTAATGGCATGCGAGTGTTCTGAACCAGAATATTGTACTGATTTACGCTGTGTATTGACGCCCGTATTGTTTTTGCTACTTTCCCCACAGTGCCAGTGCAATAATGGCATGCGAGTGTGCTTGCGTGCACTGGTCTATCCTGTGTATAGTCAGCCATAATGTTTCTTGTTTTGCTACCTTCCCCATTGCAGTACCGGTGCGCAAGTGCACTCAACCAAACGTCCCAGCTGGCACGGTGATCTCCTATGCCGCACCTGGCAATGCAACGGTCGGCCAGACGCTCACGTTGCAGTGCCCAGTCGGACACGTCTATCCGAACGGCCGTGCATTCGAGTGCCTCCCCATCGCGGGAAACTACTCGGCAGGCGCGTGGAATAGCACGATCGAGTGCAGAAAATGTGAGCGTCTTAGGTTGTTCTAGAACGAAGTCACGTTTGCTTGCATCCACGCAATTTGACGCATCCAGTCCAGAAGACACTTCACCTCGGGTATCAAACGTTTTTGTTCCCTTCTTTTCTTAGGTTGTAGTGATGTATGTACGTTCAGGGGCAACATGAATATTGTAGACACAGAGATGTGCCAAGGATACAATTATTACTTGCAGATAAACTGAAGTTTTGAGGATTTCCGGGTTTTCCCGCACTCATGCACTCTGCTGATCTGCGTGTGCATGCATACGTGCCTGCGTGTCGGCCTGCCTGGACGCCTGCCTGCGTGTGTGCCTGTCCGTCTCAATCATGCTCCACTCCGTAGTAGTTTTCTTGGCGGGTAGGCCAAGCAATGAGGGCAAGGCGGTCTGTTGCCGATGTCTGGCATTCCCCGCGTGTAAACTTCATGGACTTCATGCAGATCCAGGCTGATCGGATATGTATGCAATATTGCTTGATCTGATGAGGTGTCCTTGGGGACATAAAGATACGTTAGGCCGAACTAGGCAGCAATTATTTTAATTTATCTAGATTTTAAACTAGACCAGCGCGCATCTTGCTGGAGTTCTAGAACTGGCAAAAGTGGCACCCCAGACTTCTTGGTTTCCTTGCGGTAATTGTGTTTGTTCTCGCTCGCTTTTGTGCGCTGTCTGCATCCTTCTCCAGCCATCCTGCACTATTGTCCCAAACCAAACCTCCCTGTAGGCACAGTGATCTCCTACGGCTGGTCAGGTGGCCGTTTGCCTGGCGAGATCCTCACCATACAATGTCCGCCGACGTATGTGTCGGCGAACGGTCGCGTGTTCAAGTGCATCGGCGACCCTGGAAGCAGCTCAGCGGGCATGTGGAATGCCACTGTGCTGTGTAGAGAAGGTGAGCTGATTGTTATTATGTCATGGTGATGTCGTGATGATGTCGTGGTGATGTCGTGGTGATGTCATGGTGATACATGTAGGTCAGCACCTCAGCGGGCACGTGGAATGCCACTGTGCTGTGCAGAGAAGGTGAGCTGATTGATTGCGAGCGAGTGTGGCGGTATGGAGGCCATGGAAATGATGTCATGGTGATGTCATGGTGATGGGTCAGCGACTCAGCGCCCCAGCGCCAGTGGGCATGTCGTGTCGTGGACATGGAAATCCAGTCGAATGACCGGGGCCGGCACCCTCATCGCGTACAGAACGCAACATTGCATGCAGTGCACAGTCATGTTGATCCGATGCGACCAGTGAGCTGCATGCAGCGCATAATGCATGTGTGTACTGCTTACCGACGGCTGCATGGCCAGCGCCCTGGCGCCGCTAGGCGTGCGACTGGATTTCCATGTCCACGACATTAGAATACCACTGTGGTGTGTAGAGAAGGTGATGTAAGGCACTTTGAGGGTTATGCGAATGATGTCATAGTGCTAGGTCAGCGGAACCCCGAATGGCCGCTAGATATACAGAGTGGGTCAATGGAGCCGCTTATAGGCCCCATCAAGAGTACAAAACCCCCAAGAGTGTGCAACGCATACCTCATGCACAGGCCGGTTCTCGCTCGTGCTATTGTTTTCGCTCTTCTTCGTCTCTTACATTCCGCCATTATGCGCAGTATGTATGCCCGCACCCAATGTTGTCAGGTGGAGGGGTGAAAGGGAACTATGGTCTTCGAATACTGTGCCGGGTAGAGTGGGACTCAAAAAGTGCGAAGGTTGTTGCTTCTTGGTCTAGTTCTCACTACTTCACTGTTCTTCACATGTGTAGGTCCATCAGTATTTGTACAGCTTTCAGGATGTCAAAGGCCGTGCAAATAAAAAAAGGTCCAGGGTGCCAAATATTCACTTTGGGTTGGATTTCCACCTTTGTGTACTGCAGTTTGCTGTCCCTCTGTCTTTCTTCTTCCATGCTGCTGTGTGTGTATGTATGTATGTGCATGTGTGTGTGTGTGGGTGTGTATGTATGCATGCGCGTGTGTTTGTTTGTGTATGTGTGTGTGTACGTGTGCATGCGTGTGTGTGTGTGTGTGTGTCTCTCTCTCTCTACACTACAGATGGCTACCGTTGTGCCGGTACGCTAAACAAGCTTGTTCTGCCTAGCCATTCCGACGACCGGACGTATCAATCGGCTGAGACCGAGTGCAGATCACTCGGAGCAAGGCTGGTATCACGAGACACACTGTCTTGTGTCGAGCAATTCCGGACGGTAACAGGCAACCAAGCCGTTTTCTGGTTGAAGGATACTACAACGTTACTTCGGTCAGCGACTTCTGCTCTCCACACGGATCTGGGTGTGGACGAGCTGTCCAGTGTTTTTTCTGTCGTTTGCGAAATGACATGTAGGTATCCAAACACACTCTGTGTGTGTATGTATGTATGTGTGTGTGTGTGTGCGTGTGTGTGTGTGTGTGCGTGTGCGTCCGTGTGTGCGTGTGTGCGTGTGTGTGTGTGTGTGTGTGTGTGTGTGTGCGCGCACGCGCGTGTGCGTGTGTGTATGTTTTTGTGTGTGCAACTTCCCAGAAGGAACACACACACACACGTACATGTGTGCACATGTGGGCATGTGTGTGCAAATGTGTGTACGTGTGTGTACGCATGTGCACACGTGTGTACATGTGTGTGCATGTGTGTATGTGCGTGCTCTTTTCGATGTGATGTTTGTCGCCGATCTTTCCGCTCCCGTTCTGGTTTGAGCCGTCATCACTGTGACCGTGCGAAACGGATGTCACGTGCAGCCAGGAACAACTGCTGTCATGAATGCGAGCATTGCGAAAGGCGGTTCTCAAGGCCACAGGACTTTCAGCGCCATGCCCAATTCTGTTGACTTTGCGATTTCTCTCTCTTCTCCTCTCTCTTCTTGTCGTTGTCTCCCGCTTCTGGGAGCGGCGTGGCCCGATAGGGTAGCTGTACATAGTAGTAGTACTGTTATGGACATGGAAATCCGGTCGCACGTCTAGCGGCCCCAGGGCGCTGGCCATGCAGCCGTGGATAAGCGGTACACACATGCATTTATGCGCTGCAGCGCGCTGGCCGCATCGGATCAACATGTGCACTGCACGCAGCGTTCTGTACGCGCTGAGGGCGCCGGCCCCCGGTCAATCGACTGGATTTCCATGCCCACGACAGTAGTAGTAGTAGTGTGTGTGTGTGCACGTGTGTGTGTGTGTGTGTGCACATGTGTGTGTGTGTGGACGTGTGCGTACGTGTGTGTACGTGTGTGCGCATATTTGCATGTACACATACGCAGTTAACGCTCGGTCTGTAACCAACTCGCTAAACCGACCACTTCACCAGCATGCCTGCCTCTATGTGCTGTAAACTCTGCTTGATTTCAGATCAGCATCATTGTAACCTGACCAATACCACGCTGTTGATGCCACATGTACGAGAGTCCGAAGTCAACTACTCGCGTGCCGTCACGTTGTGTGATTCGCTGGGCGGCCATCTGCCCGACCGGCACGAGGCGTCTTGCGCCTACGCTTTCCTCCAGGTCAACGAGGACTCAATGGGTGCCTGGTTGCGCGATGCAGCACCGACTGGCCAGGCGTTTGTCACCAACTTGTCCCTCGTTGCCTCCGTCTCTGTCAGTAGTCAGAACCGGGTGATATGTGAAGAGCACGGTAAGCAAACGCCCGTGGAGAATAGTAATTTAACAATGGCTGTCGATGAAATTATTCGTGCCGTCACACACACGCACACGCACATGCACACACGCACATGCACACGCACGAACGCACATTCACACACTCAAAGTATGATGGACAGAAGTATGTACTAAACCATGCTTGCGACGCACACGAGTGGTTTTTAGTGGGGCTTTAGACAAATTTGGTGGACATAGAGAGATATTTGTAATGCCCACTTTTGTGAAAGCTCCAATGACCAGGTTTTCATTTCCTTTTCATCTTCGCCTTTCTCTGTTAAAAGCTACGACACTTCATGCCCATGTCCAGAGCTGTGCAGCGAAGATCACCAGCCTCAGAAGTGATTCGTTGAAGATTGAGAGAGTGCTAGATAAACCTTGGCGTAGAGCCGTGTACGCATGCAGGGAATGGCGAAACAATTCTTTGGCTCATAATTTCACACCCAGAGCAATCACCACACGTACAGTACGATATTGTGCACAACACAGCCTCTCCGTCACTCATCAGTCATGAGTAATTGCACAATGACGGAATGGTACTGTCCCTCAGTGTGTCCCGGTGCTGAAGTAGTAGTGCTGTTAAACTGCTTTTTTGTGCGAGTGCGCAGTGCGAGTGCGCGGTGAACTTGACAACATAGCTTTACCATGCGAAGTTCATCCAACATCTGTAGAGGGCTCAATTTGCCAAAAGAGCCGAATACGCAGAGAGAAGAATGAGCAGTAGTTGTTTCGTAACTCTGAGTTTCACGAACTGAATCAATCATCGGATGAAAATTGAGCTTTTTTGAATTACTATCTCCACCTGGACTATTATTGTTATGTGACGCAGTCGTAAATTTATGACTTTCGATACCTCTGTGCCGTTCTGTGTGTTCTTAGTTGCTGATGACTACTGTCCATGGCTGTCGGTGCCCAACGGAATAGTCACCTATGGACGTGGTCGCCTGCTAAAGAAACGGGCAGATCTGACATGTGAGCATGGCTATAATGCAGAGAACGCGCTGGTCAATTGCGTGAGCAAGACGAAGTTCAGCGGCCAATGGGATGGCGTTCCAGCCTGTCGCTGTAAGTGCACGTGAAGAGAGCTTGATTACAAAACACTGTATAGTCATGTTTATCCGTTTTGTCACATTTTGGACAACGGCCAGAAAGCGATTCATTCTGTGCGTGATTTGTGTTGAACGGCAGGCAGGCATAGTGAGATGGTCTAAGACCATGATTGAGAAACAGAGGGTACCGCCTTCAACTCCTGCTTGGGAGTGGAAGGATTTTTTCCAGCCGTGCTGCGACCCACAGTCAATTGGGAACTCGTGGCCCGGCATGAGGGAAACATGGATGCAGCGAATGGGATTTTCGGTCTTTGACCACTTTGCTGGTGGGCTGATCTACTCACCTCCCACCGCTTTAGGAGCTGCACCTGTGCCTTTGATATTTGCAGGGTGGTGGCGTTCCTACGGATGCTGAAAACTCAGTCTAACTGAGGCTCAAGCGAACTGTGAAATCTTACTTAAATTATTGTATCTATTTAAAACCCATATCCGGTGAATCTTAAAGTGATTCTCGTCATACTTTGAAAGTGAAGTGTTTCCTGAAGGTGCCCCTAGCTAGACCTGGTGGTCGAGTTGCTATCGTTCCTATAAGAGAAAATCTGCGGGTGCACATCCAGTGTATTTGCAGATTTCCATGCTTCACTTGCGACGGGCGTGTACATGTACATGGTGCGTGTGTGTGTGTGTGTGTGTGTGTGTGTGTGTGTGTGTGTGTGTGTGTGTGCGTGCGTGTGCGTGTGGGTATGTGTGTATTTGTGTGCGTGTGGGTATGTATGTGTATGTGTGTGTATGTGTGTGTGTGTGTGTGTGTGTGTGTGTGTGTGCATGTGTGTGCATGTGCATGTGCGCGTGTGTATGTACTTGTGCATACGTATGTGCAATATTCTTGCAGTGAACCCAACCTACTGTCCATACTACTCTGTGCCCAATTATGGCAAGGCCCTGTACAGCAGCAGCAACAGCAGGTCGCTGACATCCACGTTGACGGTGCAGTGTAATTTCGGCTACACGGCTACTCCCAGCAGCACTATGACTTGCACCGCACACACGGCCGCACAAGGAAAGTGGGATGTGAACGCTGACTGTGCTTGTAAGTATGCAGTCCACTTTGCTAATAACGACTGCGGATATAACAACAATTCGCCAACGAGAGAGCTTGGAAGCTCAGGGCCCTACGCTATGCTTTTTTGCCTTGATGACCTAGACAAAAAAAGCATCCGGATGTTATAAATTCTTATAAATTTCTCCTTTTTTTAAGGCATAACCTGGGATTCGAACCGGCACTATCACCCTGCATGCATCCCCCGATACACTTTGCTTGCATACTAATTCTTCCAAGTTGCTTCACGTTATGATCTTGCATTTGAAAGCTCTATTTGAATATGCATTGTGGCCAGCCGTCTTTGATGGCACGGTACGGTACGGGACAGGTACGGGACAGGTACGGGACAGGTACGGTCGAGGGTAATACGACACCGTCTACCGCCTTGATGACCTAGGCAAAAAAAGCATAGGGATGTTATAAACTTTTCAATTCTCCTTTTTTTTTTTTAGGCATAACCTGGGATTCGAACCCGAACTATCGCCCTACATGCATTCCCCCATACACTTCGCATTCATACTCATTCTACCAAGTTGCTTCAAGTTATGATCTTGCGTTTGAAAGCCCTATTTGAATATTGCGGCCAGCTGTATGTGGCCAGCTGTGTTTGATGATACGGTACGGTACGGTACGGGACAGATACGGGATAGCGCCAGGCGTGACACAAACACACAAACAAACAAACACCAAATTAAAGCTGTGTGGACCCTGGGTAGCGCCAGACGTTACTGAAGTAACGTCTTGTTGTGTAACGCACGCACAACAATTATTCACCACTACTACTCCGCACATGCACGCAGCACTCACAACGGCGGACTCTGACAGTAGTGTAAATAAAAGGACTGATACTTGGAAATGAATTAGTTAGGTAAGGATATAGAAAACAACAACTCAATCTTGGGAGAGCTAAATCAACAAGGAGAAGTAAAACCGGAACTCCACGGAACCGGCGGGGGCGGGGCAAGGCGACGTGGAGAAGCCCGGCTGACGTGTGCGAGTACGCACGCGGCACGGTCAATGGGGCTTCGGCCAGCAAGCGTGGGGACGCTAACCCGCTTTGCAGCAAGCGCAGCATGCAAATAAGGCAGAAGGCAAAAGCAATGCGCATGCTCGCAATAATGACGCGTAGCTGATAGGGCATGACGTCAACACAACTCGTGAAAATGCCTACGCAAAAATGTGTTCGAAAAGTAACCGTGAGCTACGATGCAGGAATCGATCTCTGCGATCTGGCGGACAATGAAACAATTCGAAACTAGACAAGTTGACAGTCAGTGAGTCAGAGAAGAAAGGAAACATGATAATAGCAAGAGAAGAAAGGAACAGAGCAGGTGCGGAGAATGCAGAGTATGGATAACAGAACAAAACGGTAAGCAAAGTCTCAAAACGAAGAACACGACGTACAAATTCAAAATCTATAACTTAAAGCAATAAATAAACGTGCAGTATGGTATCAAATACTTGTGGAGAGAGAGACGAACTATTCTACTTCAGTCTTCTGCGTAGCTACGGGAATAACGACAGAATTTTCATGCCCAGAGCAAAGTCCCATCTACCTGTATACATATTATAATGAGACTTTGGGTATAAGGACACTTCGCGAATAAGGACACCTTTCTGATGCCCCGCCGAGTGTC